TCCACATCAAGATTCGTCAATCGTTTTATTTGTTAATATAACTACATGGTAATAACAGCAACTCGATGATTTAAAACGAGCTCGTTTGCCTAGTAGCAAACGTTTTTGCTTACTGAGCAGAAGACCGTGGGTTCAATCCCAAGCTCCTTCGCGTTATGCGATCGTTAGGACATCAATTCAGCTTATCGTTTACCAAAACGAACCCTGCTGCAAACCCAACTCTCTTACCCAACATCCCTGTGATTCCTCGTGGAAGTGCAGAGGACTCCTCGGCTTTCATCAAAGCGAGTGTCACGTCAACACATTCCTACCCATTCCTTTCTTGACCTGCGTTCAGGCGCCACTGGCGCTGGTATTGCCTAATTCGAGATCACCAGTTTTTACACATTGAGGATGATTGCTAGTCCCAAGCATCATCTATTGATTCTCTGTGTAATTACAGCTGGTCTGGCAATAACAGAGTAGCAACCGTGGGCGGTCAATCATGCTCATACTCATGCTCATCTTGAGGATGCATGAGAATGATTTGGGATTACGATTTTAAGAAATTATTCAATGATAAAAGTCTGACGCGCAGAGGGGCCGACAAAATCGGGTCATTACTGTACCACATACTAATCTGACGACTACAGAAAAAAATGTTGTTGAATATTTTTAATTGGTCGTTCCACTTCTTGTGCAATATTATGCTATACGATTTACACATAATTTGTAAACAAATCATTTTAATGAGTGTACATACATATTGTTTGCTTTGTACATATTAGAGTGATGAACGGTGGTGGAAAAGGCCTATGGATCCGTATTTCTGGAAAATTCAATCAATTCTATAGATCTAGGGAAAATTTCCTAGAACCGACATCACTGACATCCATCTGTTTTGTTTTTATTCAACACAGCTGATGCGATGACAGAACGAGGGAAAAGCAACTAGTGAAAAAAATGCATGCCGGAGCATCCCTTGGGCTGCAAAACAATGCTTGGGAATGTACATGATAGCAGGTGCTAGTGTGGATGCATAATACACTTGACGCAGTGGCGTCGCGTAACCTCACTTTTTACCTGTTCAACAACTTTGAAAACGTTATTTAGGGTCATGTTATCATTCAAATCAGTTTCAAAGGATACAGAGTCTTCTAGTTTCACTGATTTGTATCCATTTGAACCAATATTGTTTTGTTTGTTTATGTTTTGAGAGTTGTTGAACAGGTTGATTGAGGTTAGGGCGACGCCACTGACTTGACGATATTTTTTGAAGAATTTTCTTCTAAGAGCTATGTCTGTTTGTCTGTGTTATAAATATGGGAATTATATATTGTATAAAACTGAAATTATATATTGTCAATGGATTCATTATTCTTTTAAATATAAGCTATTAGTTATGTAATTGGTATTTTTTTAGCCACCCTTTTTAACATGAGCAATTCTTTGGAGTTGCAGTAAACGCAGCTTTTCATAAAATTAAGACAAATCAGAATTTAAAAAAAAAATTGGAGATTTTCCTTCTTTCAACCATGAGCAGTTCTTTGGAGTTTTGCTGTTCGGCATTCGGCCAAACGACATTCGGCTAAATGACCCGGAACCGTCGCGAAGAAGCCTTAATAGCAATCTTAAAAATATTGGAATTTAAGAAAATGACCAAGATTCTGAGGCTTTGGCATTTGCTTAGAGTCTTAGACTATGAAAATCCAACTGATGTATAGAAAACAGAATTTGATATTTTTTAACAATTTGAGTCAGTGGGATTTATAAACAAAAATTTTAGATCACGGCTGTCTTTTTTTTATGGAATTCTGACGCGAATACCTATGGAATTTAGTGGAAAGTTGTATAAGAATGTATGTTTTAATATCAAAGAAATGCTGGAAAGGATTCTTACAAAATTCTTGGGAAAATGTTATAAGGAGTTCTGACCAGAATTCCTAGATAATTTTGAGATATGCTCCTAAAGAAATTCTGAAATGAACTGCAAGGAATTTCTGTGGAGAAAAAAGGAAGATCTGCATTGAATTCCTATGTGGTTCTGAGCAGAATTTATGGAAATCGTGAGGAGAACAGAAGGTGAATTTCAGGATAGTTTCAAAAGACTCCTGATGGGAGTTCAAAAAGAGTTATAAACAGAATTTAAAGGATAGAACCTTTTGAATTGTTCATCGAGAAATCAAGACCAACAATTGAAAAGGCCTCAACTCCATTTTGTAAACAAACCTTGTAAGGCATAATGAGAGAGAGAAACACTAGTAATTTCCATTTAATTCCACTACCTTAGGTAATGTAGTGGAATTAAATGGAAATTACTAATCCTTCTCTCTCTCTCATTATACAGGTATTCCCCTAAGACGCCCACATTCATCAGGATTCCGAAACCTACATAAGCAAACCTAAAACACAATCGGGTAGAGGAGAATTTCCTCTACCCCTTATGCTGCTTTGCGTTGGCGGACTTCGGTTCGCGAGAAAATGGCCTAACAAGGTTTGTTTACAAAATGGAGTTGAGACCTTTTCAATTGTTGGTATTGAAATATCAAAATCATCTAGGAAAACAAAATAGTGTTAGCAGCGCTTAAATAATTATTAAAAAGTCGTTATGACAGCTATCCATACAAAATAATCCATTAGAGATAAATTTATCAAGATACATCATCTGTCAATTTCTAAAAAAAAATCACTGGATACTCTAGACTAACTTTTGAAAAGGGCGGAATTTCAAAATCACCATATTGAGAAAATCGCTTCCGAATTTTGATGACCAAAAAAATAATCCTATTTCACGACTTTCCATTTTCTGGATGATTTTATAACCTTGAGAATAGTTAAAAACTCAAACAAAGTTTTCTTTGTCGTGAAATTGAGAATAAAACATCATGCGCCTTAATAATTTCTTACATGTTGTTACCCCCAGAATCTTCCATCCTTTGAACTGCCAACACTGGTGATACGCCGTGGAAATACACCCTCGAGATTTTTTTTTTATGTTCCGCCTTGGTTCTTCGTTTGCAAATTTTTTGAGTGGAATTCTTTTTTTTGTTCGTTGATTACACGTGAAATGTCAATCGGATGCATTTCAAATGAATCGGGCGTGACTAGATACTACAGAATCAGTACGTTTGGCATATTAAAACAATAAAATTCGTAGTTCTGGTGCAAGTCGTAACAACCCAGCCGCATCTCGATATTTGATGTTTCATTGGCCAGACATAAAATGGAAGGGTTTAAAGTCTAGATTAGTAGAGATGGCAATAGTTAAATCGTTTTTCAGTCGACATAGCATTCCATACTACTTGACAATTTTCTTGATGACATTGTCAATGTGAGAGTTGAACTTAAGTTTGTCATCAATAATCACGCCAAGATGTTTAGTCTCCCGAACGAATCATTTTTGAATTTTCCAAAGATTATTAAACTTTTACCGAACAGTTTCGCAATTCAAAAACCTAGTAAAATTCTGTATTTGACGTTTTGGACGCTAGATAAGCACCTCCTTGATCAAACTATGTGGTAACACTAGCGCAAAATCTGTTTGCATAGCAGTCGTTGTCAAAAAAGAAAGATGACGAAGAGCATCGATCAAAGCAGATAGGATCATTTGAAATATTCATCGAGATATGTTTTTTAACAGGAACGCTACCAATTCCTTGCTCAAACAATAGCAGTACTCCTGAGATGTTAGTTAATAGGAATTTTATAAGAATTATAAATTTAATTGAAAATAAAAAAAAGAATTTTTTGTTCACCAAAACAAAACATCTCGTTTCTTTAACTGATAAAATGTTACATACCACCCAATAAAAAAGGACTCCAGAATTCATTTAGTCCAACAAGCGAGTCGCAGTTTTCCAACATTTCAAGGTTCTTTTTCAGTAGAGATGCAACAACATTTCTGTGTCATCAAGTAGCCTTTCTGCATTGATTAAAAAATCAGCTCTACTACGTCGAACCAAAAACCTCCTTTCCATTGTTCCAAGTTCACCTAAATGCAACATCTCACAGGCTCATTTAAAGCTTCTTCCGGAACTTTCTCGAAACCATAACAAAACCGCCTTCAGTTGATGCTCGCACTTTGTGCTCTGCTCTACCCAAAATAGCGCATTCGTTCGTCTCGTGCATCTCACGTTTTCCGCCAGGTGATAAGATTTGAGAGCAAACCATGCAATAGTCTTCCTGTCCAGCAGCGTCAGATGCAAAGCAACAAAATTTGATTTAATCTCCCCACGTTGATCAAAATCCACATTCAATATAGAACGGAGTGACCACCCAACCCCCAACGCAACCCACCTGACACAATGTCATAACCCCCACTCCTCGATTGTTCCCTGGACGACGACGGAACACTCGTCCGATGTCACACGCACACCAACGTAAACACAACACACAGCAGCAGCAGGCAGCTCAGGCTCAGTAAAAAAAAACGATAACCAATGTGTGTGTGCCTGTGTGAAAACCACCACACTGCCAAAGTCAAAAGATCCGAAAAGTCTGCCGCAGCAAGCGAGCGAGCGTAAGGCATGGGGTGTCCCCGTCAGAATTTCACCATGAACAATTTCCATTGCGTCGTTGAATGAATAGTCACACTGCTCTGTTCGTCTGGATTTGACGATTTTCTATGGAAACCCACAACAACCGGCTTGTCGGGGTTGCCCAAAGTGGAGGAAAAATCGATAGCCAGCGAGAATCTTCTCGAACCTTTGAGGTTAGGTCGAGCAGGGCAAAACACCGCGCGGGAGGGGAAGTTTCAATACTCCGACTCTGGCGAGCTGTCAGATGGTTCAACCAAAAAACGTTTTTTTTTGCTTTGAGCGAGTCCACGGACGGAATCGATTATCTTGCCAAAAAGCTGCAGCTATTTCCAAGAAGTCTCTTTTAGCTCCCATTTGAACCACGCAGCAATCCTCGTCAGCCCTGGAATGATTCAACACTCATTCTTTACATAATATTGTTCTCGCCCGTTCAATGGTGGACCGAGGACAATGTCTACAGCTGAACAATAGGGTTCTACTTACGGAGTGGCTCGCAAGCTGTAATCATTGGCGATGGTTTCGATACCACCGGCCTTTGCCACGGCGACGTAGCACGACTCGTTACCGAAATCTATTCCGATCACTGACATTGTGCCGATTCTGTTGTTACTTGTTCAAGCGAAAATTCCAGTTTTCTCACACACAAGTGCTTCTCCAGTGACTGACTTAACAGAACCAGAAATGGGGCCCTTTTTTTTACACGTTCTGCGCCACACACTTCTACGGGCTGGATATTAATTTTTCCGTACCCTGCCTAGATTGGAATATGACCTTCGCCGAATTTCACACCTTGAATTTTCTCTAGGTAGCAACACTCAACCACTCCGTGCTACAAAATCTTCCTTTTTCTTCACAAAAACCGTGTGCTTTCTTCACTGCTTAGCTCTTTTTTAATTCGGATTACTCACTCGCGCGAGGTAACACGCAGTCACGACGAACTACGAGACGATCTGAACTTTGTCGATGAAAAAATGAAACTGAATGGAGGATTTTGCACGCTACGTACGTAGCTCACCAACATCGAAACGGCGGATGACAGCGGTTCACGAACACTAACGAGTTTTTTCCCGAATTTCTCAAACGTTCTCGAAAATTCGGATGATGACAGCTCGAAAAAGAGAGTGCGTTCAATGTCCGGCGCCAGCGATCAAAAATATTCTGGAGCAAAAATAGGAAAGGGCCCATCAGCATTTCTAAACAAAAGGTTTGAAAGATCTATATCCTCGCAAACGTAGGCTGCCCACGCAAATCAATACCCGAGCCAATACCATCAACAGGTAGGGCACAGGAGTGGAACTTTGGATCAGAAAGTGGCTCCACTTGTCATTTGCGAACACTAGCGTACCTAGCGGTAGAAGGCATCCTCTGCCTGCAGTTAAGATAGGCAGCATGCTATGATAGTGTGAGTGTACATAGAAAGCCCGTGTGGAACGCTACCACAACACATCCCTTGTTGAGCAGAAAAACGAACACTTTTTGATTCACCGATTTGTTTGCACTTCTCCTTCTGTTCTGTGGGTAGGGGACAGTTTTCCCCACCCGATGATGCTGATGGCAGGCTTAAACATGCTTATTACAGCTAAAATTCTGCTTTTCGAAATTATGAAACTGCACAGAAAACAAAAAATGAAATATCGATCAACGTAATTTAAGCTGATGTATGAAATAATGATGTAATAGCAAAAAGCAGATACAATCACCCCTATTCTGTATTTCGTTTCGAACGAAATTCTCATACAAAAAAATATTTTTTTGTATAGGAACTTCGTTTCGAACGAAATACAGAATAGGGGTGAATATTACATCAGTCGATGTAGTTTTGTTCGCAAAATCGATGTACATCGTGCAATATAAAATTACACAACCAGTGGAATGACCTCTGTGCAGCTGTTTGGATGTAATATCAAACTTTTTTTTTATCTGTGAGATACTATCCAGCTTTCCATGCTCGGTAATGGCGACCTGTTTGTATTAATAAATGTACACAGAAAAAAAAGTTGTTGATCATAAAATTACATCCATTGATGTAATATTGTATCTGCTTTTTGCTATTACATCATTATTTCATACACCAGCTTGAATTACGTTGATCGATATTACATTTTTTTTGCTGTGTATCTTTCACTGTGCTTTTTGACACTAACTGGAGGGCGTATCACGCAGAAAAATTTACCGTCGAAACAAAAATATTTGAGGTAAATTTAAACGTAAACTCAGTTTGTTCTGGCCACAAACATAAACTAGGTTGATTTCAAACGTATTCTACATTTGAATCCATTGATAATAATGTTTAAAACAAAAATAATGTTACGTTTATTTTAAAAATATTCGTGTTGAAAATAAACGTGAATATTTTTGATTTATTTGAAAACTATATGCGATCAAAAATGAATATGTTTATTTTAAATATGCTTTTCATGTTTAAAATAAACAAACATATTTTGAAATTATTTTAGCATTTGAATGCTGAATAAATCAAAATAAAATGGATAGCAATAAATGGAAATTAGTGCGATTATGGAAAGTCTGTGGATGTTTGGATCCGGGGGGCCGTCGGGGTGGGTTTCTGATCCGATCCAGTTCAGTAAAACCGGTGAAACTTTGTGATATTAGCGTCATTTTGTCGTTTCTGACGCTGGTCCTCATACCGGCCTCTTTCTAAGTTTAGTGTTCGGGGATGGTCTGTTTTTCTTTCGACGTCGGGTGGGGGGTGAGGATGATATGGGGATCGGTATCAGAAACGACGAATTGACGTTAATATTGTGATGTTCCACCGGTTTTGTCGAGCTTGGAACACTTGCTTGCGTGGGTTTCCGGAACCTCTACTTCGGTTTCGCCGCTTGCAGGCCGTTTTCGGTTAAGTTTGCCGAATGTAAACAAGAAGGAAAAAAGGACACGCTAAAAATTGATTACCCAGATTATGAATTGTTGAAATAAACATGCTTTTGAATTTAATTTAAACATACATATTTTTGTAGAAAACATGTTTTTAATTTACTTTGAACTATTCATATTTTTAATTAATAAACATATATATTTTTAACTTAAATGAACAAAATTTGGTTCCGTGTTGTTCCTTCGAGAGGGCAAGGGAGTGGTCAAAATCCGAACATCCAGATATAGTGTCAAAAAGCACAGTGAAGGATACATTTCCGGAGTGATTTGAGATTTGGGCGTAATTGCTTTTGTAAACAAACACGTCAAATATTACTGATTTCTTCTAGCAACGAGGGGGGCGACACATCTAAATCTCAAGTTTAGATGCTCAACAAATCTCACACTAGTGAATCTATCTTCGAAAAATCTTCTTTCATTTGCCGCATCTACTTGCATCGCCCATCATCTTTTTGCAGGAAATCTTCAGAATCTTCATCAATCTTCTTTCTATCTACTCAGCGTGCGCGCAGCTAGCCATAGCAAAACACAATCTTTTTTGCATCTTAGATAGAGTCGTCCCCCTCGCCTAGCAATGAGATGTATCTTCTTATTCTTCTTCGCATTTCAAACTTATTGCATATCGCATATTAGCTTATTGCGTGCTCTCAACTTAGTGTTCTAGATACACTTCCACAGTTATTAATTGAGAGCTTTCGATGGCTGTACCATTTTTGCATTGGTATAATTGTGTGGCAAGTCCAATCATACTTCTATGCCCAGGGAAGTCGAGAAATTTTCCAACCCGAAAAATTCCTAGACCGGACCGGGAATTGAACCCAGCCACCTCCAGCATGGTCTTGCTTTGTAGCTGCGCCTTTACCGACTGAGCTAAGGGAGGCCGCAATGAGATGTATACAGGTGAGGAAATGATCGTAAAATGGTATTCGTGTAGTGCAAAATATGTTATAGAGCTTTTTGACGTTTAATCGGCGCACTAATGCACCATTTAAATCGAACGCGTGCGAGTACGAGGGAAACAGATTAGTGGGAAAACAAACCGTTCATTCATTCATTTGTTGGATAGAGAAAGACTATTAAACGTCAAAAAGGTATATAGTGTTTGTGGAGTATACCTTCCGTGACGTCAAACTCCACTTTTTTCATGCCATTTTTTTTAGGAGTTTTTCGTCATCACCGATTGTTTACCTCTTTTTTGCTACTTATACCAACAAATACCCTCTTGTGCTACGCCTGTATATGATTCATTGGGTCGCAAAAATCCAACGTGCCACAGCGAATGAGAATGACTCAAATTTGAGTTTAGTTCACTCATAATCGCCAAAAGTGCAGGAACTCAGCGATGAGTAAAATTTGTCTCATGGTTTCCTGTGGAAAACCTAAACAATCTGCCAGAAAATGAGGAAATTGACGAAAATTTTATTCAGTCTCAGAGTAGTACCAATAGACTGAGTGAATCCAATCTTTACTTTTCTCAAATTCGGGAATTTTTCCCTGGAAAATCCTGGGAAAACATGAGGTAAATTAACTCATCGCTGAGTTCCTGCACTTTTGGCAATAGAGATTGCTGACGTTTATCGTACGCACACTACGTCACGTATACGTATACGCAAAATGTTTTCATCGGGAAATAAAAACTTCATAGCGGAAAATTTTCCCGATGAAAACAAATCACTGACACAATCATACTTTAGCAATCTCTATTATGAGTGAACTAAACTCAAATTTGAGTCGTTCTCATTCGCCGTGAGTGAACTAAACTCAAATTTGAGTCGTTCTCATTCGCCGTGTATTGAATCATGAATTTGACACATTAGAATACCTATATCGCGTTGCCAGGTCATTTTCAGAAAAATCTGGACCAGGTAAAATATAAAATCTGGAAAAATCTGGAATGCTCCAAAAATTCTCTTTTTAACATAATGCTATTGAAATCAAAGTGATGGGGCAATCTCCCGTAACAATACACTAATAAAAATTCAATGATTATGTGTATGTGTCCCACACATGAATTTTTGCAATGTGATAAACAAATGATATATATGTGTCGGACACATAGTTCTTATGTGTACCCATAAAATTCATGTGTAACTACACATACTATTACAGCAAAAAAAAAATGTAATATCGATCAACGTAATTCAAGCTGATGTATGAAATAATGATGTAATAGCAAAAAGCAGATACAATATTACATCAATGGATGTAATTTTGTTCGCAAAATCGATGTACATCGTACAATGTGATATTACACAACCGATGGATTGACCTGGTTGCAGCAGTTTCGATGTAATATTCAACAACTTTTTTTGCTGTGTATGATCATCTGAAATTTATTGAAAGCACTAGAATGGCTATAAATTACATGTTTAAATAAATTATATAAAGCAAATAACTTGTTAGCATTGCTAAAACCATCCAAAAGTTGAAAAGTATTGACACGGTGAGCCCAAAAAGTTCAAATATCCATTACGCAGCATTTCAAAAATTGAGTTAAATGTGGGTAAAAAAACAGCAGAAAATATGATTAGAATTGTTTTTTAAACTGTAACTTTTTTAAAAAGAATGAGAAGCAAACAATCAAGGAAATTTGATGGGATGGATTTTTTGAACTAATAGTCGATGTAGTCCTTACCATGCAGTAAGATGCAGTACCAGAATTTAAAGATTTTATTAGTTCTAAATAATTCTAATATTACTCTGAGGTTGATCAGATTTACAGTTTAATTCTTGACATCATACAACACACAACACCCAGCAGACCAGTAGGCAATTTTATTTTGAAGCAAAATTCACCGGGCTGAAGGGGGAATCAAAGCCTAACATCGTGGAACTCACACACAGTTTACTTAAACTACGGGTAACTCCACTTATCGCATGACCATTATGTCAAAGAATAATTTTATTATATTACTAAAATGAAACTCTGATAGCTTCATTTTAGAAGTCTCAGGATCTTGCAATGATTCTAAATTCCGGAATTTATATTTTTCCTGCGTCCCAGATTATGATTTTTTTTGTTAGGCTGAATTTACTTGGAACTCTTCACAGGATATCTTCGCCTTTTTT